GGGCGGGGGCCCCCCCCCCCCGCCGATGCGGCTACCGACAGAGGCAGCCGGCTTGGAAAGGCAGGACGTAATTTCAAAATTCATCAGCGGGTAAATACCGAGAAATCGCTGGAGGCTGGCCAAGCCCTTGCAGATATATATATATATATATATACACACATCCATTCATTTTTTTTTCAGAAATGAGAGGGGCAAGATGGGGTGGGGGCGGCCGTCCCGTCAAGGCTAACGCGGCCCTCGTAGAAATATTTTAGACACAGCCCTGCCTGAAATACTGAAGGCATTGCAGGTCTATTTAAAAGCTTCTGCGGAAGCTTTGAAACACACTATCTGGCAGACCGGCCCTATCCTGCAGGATTTGGTCGAGAGCAGTGAAGCCATTGCGCTGACGGTTTTTCCTCAATAAGGGCGCCGTCCCGTCAAGGCTAACGCGGCCCTCGTAGAAATATTTTAGACACAGCCCTGCCTGAAATACTGAAGGCATTGCAGGTCTATTTAAAAGCTTCTGCGGAAGCTTTGAAACACACTATCTGGCAGAGGGGCCCTATCCTGCAGGATTTGGTCGAGAGCAGTGAAGCCATTGCGCTGACGGTTTTTCCTCAATAAGGGCTGCAGGATGTGGCAGGAGACACTTTGTGCCAAAAAAATAAAAATAGACAAGAAAGCTCTGTTTGAACAAGTTTGCTTGAGTGAATGGCAATCCCATGAACGGTCTGTTTTCCAACGCCTGGAGTGTAATATTAGGTTGACTGTATTTTTCAATGTCAAAAATCTTATTTGCCTCTGGAGACCTTTAAAATTTGATTCCTTGAAAAAAAAAATAAGAATGGAATAAGTGTAACCTTCATTTCCTTTGGATATTTGAAGGTGAGTCCCCGCTATCAGCAATAAAAAGGATCTCTAACATCTCGTAAAACCAACACTTGCGGGGATTTGAAGGAAAATTAAAGCTCCAGCACCGTTTCGGGAAATGTATGGAGCAAATCTGTGCGGAGCCCGAACCTGCCGGGCTGCACAGCTGCGTGGCCGCGGCGCTTGGCCATTTCCAAAACACATTAGGCAGAAACGAAAGAAAGGAGTCTCCTCGGAGGGACGGATCTACGGGAGATTTCTAATCCGTTAATTAACCACGCAGGCCCTAAGATCAGATCCGTATGGACCGGGCAATTCAGCGAGCTAGTGAGGAGCCACTGTGCAGTTAGAGGACGCTTTTTGCTTCTTCGAACCGCCTTTATAAGGCACAGGGACTGCTGACGGAAAAGTCACCCCGAATACTCAAGGAGTGGGCATTAACCTCTGCCCGGCAATTAATGGTCCCTTCACTCCATTTAACGAGAAAAACACGGTTTCGGAATCACGCTCGGTATAAGAATATACGTCTATCAACGTGCATTCGTGAGCACCTTGCTGGGTAGTGAATACGAACTGCAATTTGATGAGCGAGGTAAAAGGTTGCTCCGGTCAGTCCCTGTCTAGGTCTCCCGCCTCACGCCCGGAGCCGACGCTAGAGGCAATTTTTGCTAACAAGCGTTCAGACCCACTCGTTCCCGGCTGCCCCCCCGGCTTTCCCTCTCTGCACCGGGGTAACCCTCAAGGACACGCTTGTGTGCCCCGAGCTGTGCGGGGCGCGGAGCCCTCGCCCTCAGCCCCGCCG